AGGCAGGCAAATATATGAGATAAACGTTGTTGTAGTTTACACTCAGTAAAACAGATACACAGTGCTAGTTAAATAGTTTATTCCAGTAAGATTTATAGCATAGTCAAACAGTCCATATATCATACACTAGTTCAGTCCGTCCGGGGATTAATTAGTTGCAAAGTCCAGTGTCGAAAAAGAGGTCAGTAAACATACAATATCAGTCCTGTAATTTATCTCTTTGCAGTATGAGATAAGAAGAAGTAAAAACCTCTTTTCTTCCTTCAGCAACAGTAGCAAGGAAAAACGCAGTTAACAATCTATCATCGTCAGCAAGGAATCCAGTAAACCAGCAAAACAATTCAGGTTCTCTTGCTCCCTCTTATGGCGATTTACAGCCTCACCCAAAATTACATGCTCTGCATTTAAAGTGACAAACACTATCATAGTCTATATATATATTATTTTACCCAAACTACGTTAGGTAACCTATGTTGTTTCTAACATTGACTATTCAGCCTGTATTTTATTTTCTGATTTTTTCTGCCAATATGTAAGATAGAGCATTTATTTGTTGAGATTTGAAGTTGCCATTTGTTTGACCATTCTGATACATAGTCGAGGTCTTTTTGAAGGGTAGCAGTATTGTCTGTGGTGTTGAATAGCTTTACATCATCAACGAAGAGAACGCAGTTGCTCTTAATATGATCACAGAGGTCATTTATATAGAGTATGAAAAGAGTTGGTCCTAGAACACTTATTATCTGTGGTAGGATAATTGGGGGACACCACTGTTGACAGGTACAGAATTTGATAGGACGCTCCCAGTTTTGACCACTGTTGGGGACACTGTTGGGGACACTCCCAATTGTTGATAGGACGCTCCCACTGTTGATAGGATGCTCCCAATTTTGACCACTGTTGGGGGACACCACTGTTGACAGGTACAGAATTTGATAGGACGCTCCCAATTTTGACCATTTGTTGTCTGTTTGACAGGAATGCTTCTATCCAGTTATGTAAGTCATGCAGAGATCCCTTGTTGTTGTTTTTTTGAAGGAGGATTGTAGGGACAAAATAGGACTGTTGCTACTGCACTGTCCCCTACAAGCATAACAGCTTGTATACCATACTGCCAGACCCTGTTGAGATACAGTTTCTGGGCCAATTGTTCTGGATACTTTGACCATATTTCCTAGGGCAGGGATCAGAGGCATCTTGTGAATTCATTTAATCCTTGACATGAATTGTGGGGAAGATTCATATAGGAAGCCACACATTAAGACCTAATTTTTACCCTAGATAAAGTGGAATGAGGTTTGAAGTTAGAAGATACTGTCATCGTTCTTGGCCACGGTAAGAACATTCTCTGATTGCCATGGAGCTGATTGGTGCTACCTACACCTGTGGGAAGGAGAGACCTATTTTATCATTGTTCCTGATGACTAATGGCTCACTAACTCATCGTAGGATCCAAAGGATGCTTTGGGTTTTTTCCCCCCAAGGTTATGGAGGTCAGTCCTGCTAAATCTTTAGTCACATCATAAAATACTTAGGCGGCAAAACTGCAGGTGACGTCCACTTGTTCTGTAAGTTAGAAGAGTATCATGGAGAAACCAGATTGTAGAATAAATTGGTCAGGGGTTCGCATCTGAGGCACAAATAGCCAGCCTCAAATGATCATATTTTGGACTCCTTATGCAAAGACCTTGTTCCTGGGAAATGCCAGGAAAAATTGGTACCATTAGAGAGGGTACCCATGTCCCAGAGTTCGAAGAACAGTTAGGTGAACATTAGTATATATACCTGATCAAGTATATCTCACTTGTACAGATAATCCATCTCATGCCTTACCAGCTCAGATGGATGTAAGAACCAACATAGACAAAGTAATTGCCTAAAAAAGAAAACATAGCTACAGAATTTAGTAGAAGCAAAAAAAAAAAAAAACCTTTTATTTCAAGAAACAGAATTAACAACTGGAAGGACAGAAGGGGAGAAGAGGCTGATGCTTGAGCAGGATATAACTCCCAATATGTCCTACTAACAATGGCACATTTCTTCTTACATTCCATCTATTCACCCATTCAAACTTTGTTACACAAGTAAGATGGCCATAATAAAAATGCATTGAAATCTGCTCACTCATTAAATAGATGCTAAAGAGATGCAAGCAGATGTTTGTGGCTAGGTTTGTTGCTATTCCCAGGTTATACCAGATTCATCTGCCAGCATACACATAAACATACTTCCAACCAGTAAATACATTTGACCACAAACTAGGTTTAATTTGAGGCACTTATATTTGCCTATAGCTTCAACAGAAGGTTTTCTTTAAATAAATTTAGCACAAGAGTTCATGAGGAGATTTTTGAAATATAGTTCTTTCTTTCCCTTCTTTCTCTCCAGTGAACCTCTGAAAATGTTTCCCCCATGAGGTACCACTGTAATTTTTTTAAAAGAGTCCTGTTGCAGACAGGGAGGAGGGGGCAGAGGAGAGAGGGAGGAAGGAAGGAAGGAAGGAAGGAAGGAAAGAAGGAAAGAAAAAAAGAAGGAAAGAATAAATTATTTCCCTTCCACTACCACACTTCTAAAATATATCTCCCCAGGGCAATTACACATTATGAAAAATATCAATTGTTATTAAAAATTTATTATAATACAGGGAAGAAAAAAGATTGGATATCTAAAATAGCTACTTCTTAAAAATTGTCCCCACTTAATCTGGACACTTGGAGAAAAACAGTCCCAGTTTAGAAGCTTGACTGTTTGACAAGGAACCTGTAAACTAAGGTCACACCTGCAGCATTAGTGACTTACTTCAGCATTCAACATTTTGTGGTTCTTGTTTGTGGTGGCATTGTATAATCAGTTCCTCCAATGCTAACATAATTATCAATTTATTCTGACAATAAAGATGTTTGCGCTGATTTCAGAATGCAGACTAGATTTTCAATAAATGCTTTCCTCATTTTTAAATAGGGTGGTAGTGATAGACACTAATGTTTTAAGAAGTACTGGATTCAAATTCCACCTGCACACATATTTGTGTGTTTGTATTGATATGATCTGAAGAGAAACCAGAGTATTGATAAGTGCGCCACATCCACACCCACACACATGTAGAACAGCAGAGAAATTTAAAAGCCATTTGTGAAAAATTATGTACAGTACATTTCTTCATTGTCAACGTTATCTCAACACCAAATATATATAGTTCCTGACTAAAAGAGATTCGTGAAAGTTACATGCCCTTAACCTTTGAATTATTTTGGATAAGAACTCCCATAATTTCTAGGAGCAATGGTCTAGATCCAGAGTTTATATATACACTTGCCTATTTGCATAATACAGAATGGTGGCAATAACAAGTGACAGCCCATTCTGCATTGGGATACAGCACAGCAGGGCTGGCAGTATACAGTAGCCTAAGTGGTCTATGAATTTCAGGTCAGTTCTGCATGTGAATATCATTCAATGTCCACAAGCATCTAGAAAATATTGCCAGTTGTTTTGGCATAATTCAACAATATTTTCTGCCAAGACTTAAAATTCTTGACAAATGTTAAGGGGACATCTGAAGTACAAGTATTTTTGCAAAGGGAAACATCAAAAAAGCAACATTAACACATTTCAAAAAGAGCACTTTCTGTTTTACTTCTAGATCCTTACTTTTTAATCATCTGGTAAAATCTAATCCTAATGTTTGAATTTGCCCAATCATTGGAATCTCAACTTCTGAAGTATTTTTCCTCCTTCAAAAAATGTTTTTTTGGAGGTAGATATATATATATATCTTAAATTAGTATATTCCTTAAATTCCACATATTATAATGTGGGATTATTATCTGTGATAGGATAATTTACACACTGAAGAGAAATAATATTAATGAGATGATAAAAAGTTCTGGAAAGTCCAGGGGAAGTCATAGGAGTTTATGGTGGCTTTGAATCCCTGAAACAGCATCCATTATTTTGTATTTGGAGTGAACTGCTTATGAGCTTATTATGGATTTAAACATTGGGAGGGGGGGGAGTCAGCCAGAAGCACTGTTTTTGAACTCAGTTGGGTCACAAGAACTTTCTCTGCACTCCATTCTAATTTGCAGTTTTGCTATAATAAAAGCCCCAGATATATTGCTACTGTCTAGACATTTTATCTGAAACAAGTGTCCTTCCTAATCCCAGAGGACTTTTCTATTTTATTTCCAGTAAATCAAAGTCTGTGAAGAGCTTTGGTTCTTATTGAGACATACCCTTCACAGTCCAGTGATTGCCAACAGTGGCAAACCATTGACAGTTCATTTACATATAAGCGATGACTTTCATTGAGTAGCTGGCCAAAAAGAAAAAGAAAAAACACCAGTGGACGTTCAGAGAGCATAGCCAATATTTCTTGCTCTTTGATGAGGATTGAGTGCCAATTTATTTATGGAAAGGTAAGATTTCTTTTTAACATCCTTACTGGGTTTCTTTCTTTTTTTTTTTTGCTTTTGTTTCCAAATGTAGGCAGCAGTCTTACAAAATGTCTCCATCTCAGAATTCTCTAGAGTCATTATGCCTCAGGAAGATGATAGTAGTAGTCCTACAATTCTGATGGGCCCAATTACAGCTCAGTGGGAATTTTTTTGAAACTATCAGAAAAATTAAAGAACACAAGACTTTTGAGATAAAAAAGCAGCAATATTAAAAAAATTATAAGATGAGTATAGAATCATATACTATATCACTATATAGCAAAAAAATATAGTCGCCTGCATTATGATTCATATGAATAAAATGAAATTATTTTACAAAGCAAGTTTTTAAACTTATTTATATTGTTCCTATGCATATAGAAATTTTAATAGTATTGCCTAGAGACTAAGGAGATGTATTTCTATTACCTCCTTTAAGAATGAAATATTTTTCATTACAACATTGGGAATTTCCATTAGCGGAAACTGAGATTTTACTTCGTTATCTATTAACTCAATCAAATGTTGCTGTAAGGTTCGCTTGTCTGTGATTTGCTTCCTGACTTAGTCACTGTCTTCTAAAACATTTGTTCCCTCTTCTTCTATTTGCTCCTTCTTCTTTCTGTCTCGTATTGATGCAGCAACTAGAGCACCAGCAATTCGAATATCAGCTGATTTTAGCACTGGGTGGCCTCTTGCTGTAACATAAAATAAATAGAAATATATTGATTAGCTAAAGGGAACACAAATAAGGATGATTCTAAATTGAAACTTTAATGGACAAAGATAACCAAAGTGGTAGATATGAAGAGTTATGTGAACTACTACACATTTCACTGATACAAAGTTAATATTCTATATTGCAAAATATTAATACTGTACATTGTAAAATATGCATGATTAAGAAATCAGATACATTGATATTAGCCTGAGATACATTGTTATTATGGGTTGTTATTATGCTTTCAAATGTACTTGTCTATGGGATTTGTGGAAATTCCTAAACAAGTTTGATTTTTTATAAGTGAGCTGTTTCCTAGAGGTTTCATATAAGAGAGAGAGAAAGAGAGAGGAGAGGAGAGAAGGAAGGAAGGAAGGAAGGAAGGAAGGAAGGAAGGAAGGAAGGAAGGAAGGAAGGAAGGAAGGAAGGAGAGAAAGAAAGAAAGAAAGAAAGAAAGAAAGAAAGAAAGAAAGAAAGAAAACAAACATTTTTTTCTTGGCTAATCTATGATATGCTTTTTAAACTAGCATACTCATTTGACTTGGAAGACTTTTTAGAATATTGCACAAATCTTTTTGTTTTTAATTAGTAAAGCAAGCATTTCAGCAACAGTAGAAAAGTAACTGTGAACTGTGATAATAATATTTCAAGTAATAAGAGCTTCACAGTTAAAAAGTGGAAGTTAAACATAAGCAATGTTAAGCAAGTAAGTGGTGGAACCTCTCTTCCTGTAGAGGGCAGGAAAGATTCCCCTGAATTAGAGAATTAATACAACCTAAGTATGGTGTGATAGGAAGTTCTCTTCAAATTAACTTTGTAGTAAAACAGACAAGGGAGAATTAGAATTAGAAATTCACCTCTCCTTTAATTAAAGGACTTGGAAATGTATTAACCAACTCAGAGACTGAAACAACCAGGGGTGGGCTGCTGGGGGTTCGCAGGGGTTTGGGAAAGCCCCTAGCTAAGATTCTGTGCAGTTAGGAGAATCCCCAAATCCCATTCCTGGCTGCCCCTGCCCCGCCCACCCCGCCCCTCCCAGGAGTCCCCGAGCAACCCATTTTGGATCTAGGTAAGTACAGGGAGCGTGTGGACGCTTGGGGATGGCAAAAAACAGGCCTCCCAGAAGTTCAGGAAGGTCGGAAATGGCCCCGTTTCCGGATTCCAGAGAGCCTCCGGAGCCCAGGGAGGCCATTTTTGCCCTCCTGGAGGCTCGAGGAAAGCCTCTGGAGCCCGGAGAGGGCAAAAATGCCCCCCCCCTGCCGTGGTGCAGGTGGCTGACTAGGCCACGCCCACCATGGCCATGCCCCCCGGCAACTTTTGTTAAAATCTTTGAAGCCCACCGCTGGAAACAACCCTAAAGTCTTTTAAATGTGGCTAGCCAATACAAAGGAAAAAATTCATCCAAAGAAACCATCTGGAAAAATTATTATCTTGAGGGGCAAGATATGAATAATTGTACTAACATAATAATGACTATGAAAGAAATAAGTATGGGATTTGTATGGATCAGGACATTGTTGAGGAAGGGGTGGTCAGGATAACATAACCTGGTCCCAAGTAACTATTAGTTGCTGCTTCAGGAAGGGTTACAGGGGGTCAAAGATTAGCAGGCCTTATCGGTTGGGTAGCAGTTATGTCTCTTTTAAGTCTGAGGTACTTGCAAATGGGCACTTAGCTGCTGGTTGTTCATAACCCCTTTATGAGGATAAAGCCAATTATTTTGCTTTTAAACAGAATTGAAATGTAGTCATGAATAAATGAGAGAAACTGAATAAAAATCAATTTGGCACCAGGATCTTAGATCATGTAGGTAGCCAGCGAATGATTTCAACATCCAGCAAGTTGGGCCAAACATTTATTTTAAAAAGCATTGGAAATTACTTGGATGGAAAATATAAATTCTAGTTACTAATTTATATAGTAATCCAATTTTCTATTTCTGGGACTTTACTGTATCTAGTAATTAGTAGTGATGCGAGGCATGGCAATATAGAATTATAGTAGCTCAGATTCAAAATGTTTAAATATTTTGTAAGGATATGATTAAATTGGTATTATGCATTCTTGTTAACAAAAACTGTTAGATTAAGAAACAGTTAAACTGTAGGTATTTAAATATACATATCCCAGATTTTTGTTCTAATGGGAATAAAATGATTATAGTAACTCCACTATGTGGAAATTTCAAAGTAGATAATATTTGCTATATTTTAGGATTCTAAGTTGAACAAGATGGAAGATCTTTTTTGCTGGCCAAAGCATCAAAACAGAACTGTAGTTGTACAGAACATCCTGACATTTTCAAGATGGAGATTTTAACACCAACTATTCATAATTTTTCAGAGTATTGAAATACATATATGAGACTCAGCAGTGCACTCTTGAAAGTGAGTTAGGAGATTATTGAGTTATAAATAATCAGAAGAACGTGAAATAACAAAATTCATTGAATAGCTTCAATTTGTTCATAATAAATGCCCAGATCCATTGTAAATTTACATGCTGTCAAGAGTTTCTATGGATAGTGAGAGAGGTAGCATATCATCATCTTCTTTTAAAGACCCCACAATCCCTTTGCAGGGTGGAGTCTGGACAGCTGAATGGAGCTGAGTGTTTACTGGCCGGATGCCCTTCCTGTCACCAGTGTGGAGTTTTATTCAGCAGATATATTCTCATCGTGCCCAGAGAGAGAAATATCTGCTTCTACCTAGGATTGAATTCACAGCCTCCTGATTGTGAAGTGAGAACTCCACCTCTAGGCCACCACACCACTCAGAGAATAGCATATAAATTTAATAAATACATACATAATAAATAAATAATAGTTTGGGATGATTTCCTCAGCCTAAACCAAAAGTTAACAAAAGAGTGATGAAACTTAATGTAAGGAAACACTGAGAATATGAGAAAAATCAACCGTAATTTGATAGCTGTATTAATACAGTTTATACTATTTATAATTAACCATGAAAAAAATACCCATGTTGGGTTTATTTTTAAATGAAGTGGGGTCTGTTTCTTTGAAAAAAGCATATTTGATGTGAGGTAATGGTAATAAACAGCATCATAGTTTTATTAAACAAATTTCTGGTATGTTTATATTTTAAAATATTAGCGCAATTTGAAATCGTATCTCAAAATGTTTATTCCAGCACAGTGGAACAAAGAGCTATCTGATCAGGAACATCTCCCTTTAAAATACTTAAAAGGGTGGAGCCTTAATCTGTAAGAGAAAGGGGCCACAAAACAAAGGCATGGTAACATATTAAATGTTCTGGTGTTGCTCTGGAAAAAATAAATAATGACAATTAATATTACATTGATTAGTAGCTGTTCAAGACAGATATATTTCTTCATGCAATGTATAATTGACAAGGGATTGATTTTTTAGAGATAATACATAATTTAGAGATAATTAGATAATAACTGCTAGTTAAAGCAACTTTAAAAGATAGATGACAAGAGATTTATAAAGTAAGCAGTTATCACAATGTTCAAAACTGGAATCTCCACGTTGTGGGACAATGCAGCTCAATGTCCTAGTCTGAACTGTCAACTGCAAATATATAATTACATACATTTTCAAGCTAATCTAGCAGAGATTTTTTTAAAAAATAAATCTCTATAAAATACCATCCCAAACCAAAAGGGGAAAATTGGAATCCGGAATGATAAACGAATAAAGGGAAACAGATGGAAGTCATAACTGCAAGAAGCCACAAACTAAAAATTCTCTTGGCAGTATATGTGAAAGCTAAACAGACTTTTATAAAATTCTGAATTAGCAGGGACACAAAAGAACCAATTTCTATTTTCTTAAAAATAAGACTTGAGACATTTGACAGAGACTAGCATTTCTTTTGTACAAAAATTAAATTTTGTGCTAAAATTATTATCTGATATAAGGTTACTTTGAATAAATTGTTCCTGAGACTTTGTTAGCAGTGAACAAATGAATAGGCATATTGCTCAATTTTCACTGGGCTTGCAAAGATAATTGTTTTGCTAACTATTTAAGCTTGTTACATGGGGGCTTTAGAAGGCAAGCAAGGATGGATGGGGGCACGTGAACAAGTTTATACTGACCCATTTTCTGCTTGCCCAGTCCCTAGACTTCCAGTCTTGAGAAGTTATAAAGAGATTTTAAGGTATCTTGAATCTTCATCCTGTCATACCCTTTCCCAAAGTTAAACTGCAGCCCAAATCCAGGTCCAAGTGGCTTTGTGCTTTTACAATTTCCTCTTCTGGAAGATTGTTAAATATCTACAATAAATTAGTGTTTCTCAACTTTAGCATGTCATTTCTCATATTTTTAAGACTGTTTAATCCATTATTTTGGGTACTAAAATGCTGCTCTACTCCAGTAGGAAGGAGAGCAAATTAATGGACTTCCGTACTCTTCATTAATCCCTTCTAGGATTAATCCTGCTAAATATTCGGTATTAGCATCTCCCACATTGCTTGGTATCAACATTCCTCAGTACATATTCAGAAAGGTTGGGGGCCTGATAACCTGCTGTACCAGAAGAAAATATAAAGACTTGCCCTCTGAAACCACTTATTAACAGCCTTTATCTAAACCTATATAAAGCATGTTGCAAAGACAACTGACAATTGCCAAAAAGAGAGCATGCAATTAGTATCTGAAATAATTGTGATTATATTTTGTGCTAATATTAGCACTTTAAAACAGAACAATAATCCCAGACTGCATTATTCTGAAGGCCACTCAGCTGGTGATACAAAGCTATGGATGGCAGTTCTTGATTGTTCATTACATTTTGATGCTTTGCACAAGCAGACCCCTTTCACTCGTATATAAATGTAAAGCACTTCGGAATTAGTATTTTATTGTAGCATTGATCAGATCCTTTGCTTATTTTGGGGTGTCTTGTGGTTACAGAAGCAAACTATTGTAACAGTTTCAGTAAGTATCTATTAACACAAAGTTTTATCTAAGTCTGGTTGCATGCATGG